ATTTGAATATTTCGGTATATCATCGGTACAAACATATAGGTATGTTGATTCAATATAATGCATTTCGTTACGTACATTTAGGTACACACATTTGAGTATTGACTTTTAGGTATATTAATTAAATATATTATAATTAGGCACATACATTTAGGTACGTATATTTTGGTACATACATTTCGGTATTGACATTTAGGTACATACATTTCGGTATTGACATTTAGGTACATACATTTTTGGTACATACATTTCAGTATTGACATTTAGGTACATTAATTCAATATAATACATTTCGGTACATACATTTAGGTACATTAATTCAATATAATACATTTCGGTACATACATTTAGGTTCATTATAATATATTTTGGTACAATCATGTAGGTACAAATATTTCAGTACAAAAAAGTCAATTATATATATTTCGGAACAGTCATTTATGTACACTTATCTATTTATATATTTTTGTATCACAAATTTCTTTTACTATTTTCTCATTTACATTCATTTATAATTAAAAACCTAAATATGTGCATATTAATAAAATTAAAATTTAATGTGGACAGATTAAATAAAAATACACATTAAATAACAAAAATTGAATGTAAATTTTGATAAAAGTACATTTAAGGGATTAAATTGAATATGTCATCTAGCACAAGGTTTTTTTAAAATTTTAATCTTTTGCAAGGACTAATGTTCAAAAACCCCCTTAAATATATGAGACATTGGAAGCTATTAAACATATTGGAGGAATGATCGATTTAAAGCTTTCACTCCTCAACATCATCAAAGAGTTTTCTTATTAATCAAAATTAGCCATGGTTTGATCTTTAGCTATCCAAATTGTCCAAACCCAGTCTAGGCACCATATATCCAAACCAATTCCAGCCTATGCAAATCAACGAAAATGGACATAACTATAGGCTTTATTCAATCCACGCGGAAATCTTTCTTAAACCTAATCAAAGAGTCCCAGACAACCCCAAACAATCCCATCTTTCTCCACCTAACCTCAAAGATTTCTAACAACTAACAACAAAATGGACTTGTTTGTGTATGTCATACAAGTTATTTGTCTCTCCGGTCCCATATGCAATCTTTAAAACAAATCTTTGATGAACTTGTCATCGAGGAGTGGTCGCACGAAAAAAAAAAAAAAATTGACACCAAGACTTGGGGTTTACGAAACAAAGAAAATGGAGGATTGCCAAGCTTGTTTTTTCATAACGAAACCAGAGCATGAAATGAAGGGGTCATGAGTTTAGGACACTTTATATATGCAGGTAGGTTTTTAGGACTTGAAATCAATGTGGTCTCCAACCGATCTAGAATCTCTTTTAGAAGATGCGCAAATATTTATGATTAATTTAACTAGATACCACATTGACCACGAGTTTCAACAAAACAAGCCCCTATCTTGCCACACCTCATGCACATAAGTCGCACTTCAGAAAGAACAAAAGATTTTGAGAAAGAGAACATCATGTCCTTTTTTTTTCTATGTGGGTACAAATAGAAGAACATCTTAATAATTAATTGATGGAGTGTCACACCCTCCCAAAACAAGTATTTAATTATTTTTTATAAGAAAATTAATAGAGTGTGACCACAGTCACAATCAGTTCCAACATAGTCAAGGAGAAAGGCATTTCTAGCCACAAACGACAGAGATCTATCCCAAACATGAAAATTGTTAAAATTAAATTTTGTATTAGTAATTGCAACAGTCAAGAAGTTCGTTTCTCTGTAAACATGACTTCAAACAATAGTATCGAAAGCAAATGACAACCATTTGATGTCTTCAATGATGTTTCTCAATCGCTAAGGAGTTGCACAAAACCCTTTGATTGCATCAATCACGAGCAAGGTCTAAAATATCGATATTATCCCGATATTTCCATCGAAATTTCCGTGTTTTTGGACTACCGATATTTCTGATATCATCGATATTTTAAACCTTGATAGGAACTCTATGTGGTACTAAGTCACTTATGTATCTTACCATGCAATATATGAAGTGTAAAATATTGTACTAATTCATTATATATAAATGATTATGGTGTGTTTAAACTTCTTTCATTAATTACTACATATTTTCTACACTCACAATGTTTGCAAGCTCGCCATATAATCAACTTAAATCAGTTAAATCTATCATGTAATGCATTTCCTTCCAATTTTTTATGATAAATTAATAGATAATTGACTAAATAAACATCCTGCAAAGTTTCAATAAAAATTTCCAAGTTTTTTTTACAATTTCCATGGTTTTTATTCAATTTTTATGGATATCGATAATATCCCGATATTTCTATCGAAATTTCCGTGTTTTTAGACTACCAATATTTCTAATATCATCGATATTTTACACCTTGATCACGATTTTTGAATCACTCTCCGCATAAACTTTCTTACACTCTTCCTTTAGTCAACTAAAGGGTATTCCTCAAGGCTTACGCGATAGAGATGTTCTCTCCAAGGCTCCGAGCTCCAGCAAAATTGGCAAGCCATCCTCATTTCTGATTACAAAGCCAGCTGTTGCCTTGGAATTAATGACCCCTCCACCAAAATTGAGAGAGGATCACTGTCGAATCCTCTTTGAGAGGATATTAAGAATCCAATCACTTTCGTTCATCATACAGTAAAAAAATTATTGTAAATTTTTTTATTTAAAATTGAATATAAATAATACCTGATAAAAAGTAACCGCACAATGTACAATAAACGGATATAATTGAAAAATCTTCAGAATCCTCATAAAAAGCCTTCGATGAGGATCCTCATAAAGAGGATTTTACGAGGATCCTCTCTCATCAAAATTGATCTTCAGCTGCCGTTGTCCTGGGGTCCCACCTAATTTTCCGCTTCTGATTACTAGCCAAACTTATTTTCATTGTTAGCTTGAAAGTACTCGTTACTCAAGATTGAAGCTACTCTACTAGGAGAAGGTTTTCCATTCCTAGAAACCACCTGATTCTATACGTGGCAAATGACTCATATAATCAATATCCAACAAAATAAACTTATTAATTAACATAATATATATACATCACTTGAAACATCAGATGGTAAACCAATATAGTACAAACATGTGGTTTTCCTAATATTTTCTTAATCATATACATCATTTTTTTACATCATGTGATATACTAATGTGGTACAAAAATATAGTTTCTATAACATTATTCATAAAAACGAATTTTGTATCCGACATATTTGCACTCTCACTTATTCGTAGGGCAAAACACCATTTTCTCTCATTGATCATATACTTATTTATAACATAGTCCTATGTACTTTACACAAAATCACTTTACCTCTTCCACTTTATTCTTTTTATTTTTTATTTTTATTTTTTGGAAGCAAGGGAAAAGGCACAAAAGCCAAAAGAGAACAGGAAAGCCTACGGAGAGGCAAACACCAAGAAGGCAAACAAGTAGTGAACGGGGATACAACACAAAGACACCTCCACTAAGTGGAAGCGTCACCACAAACACAACCACAACGAAAGTAATGAGGACATGGAAGACCATCATTGTGCAAAACATAAACCAACGAAGATGGGGGCCGATCGACCCAAACAGAATCACTCATCTTAGGAGAACCAACCAATGCAAGCTCATGCGCCACACCATTAGCTGATATGGGCACCCAAGACCAGCGATAGTTCTGGAAAGCCTCCCCCAGCTACTTGACCCGAGCCAACAGAGGGTAAGATCGAAGCTCAAATGAATGGTTGCAATTTTTAACTTTTCATGAATAATCACATGTTTTTAAAAGATGCATCTTAACTTCTATTAATAGCCAATCAGTCCCTTTGTAGTCATTCCTCGTTTTATGATATTCACTATACCCATGATATAGTGGACAAAATTATATTAGAATGTCTCACTGGGTCCATATGAGAAAGTGTTCGACACAATTGTGGTTCGTTGAAGTCTTGTGATTTGGGGTGATTATTACAAGGATGTGATCATTGCATCTTAGGAGGTAAACGTTGATTACCAAGATCACTATAATGGGGCGTAAAATTGTCTTAGGAACGCAATGTTGAACATTTGCCTTGAACCAATTTTCAAAATTTTCTAATATTATGCTCTGTTCATTTAATATTAGTTGTTCATGTCCATGCATTACGTCGTGTATTTAACTGCATTAAATTGTTCATTTCCATGCATTATATTAGCAAAATGCGGAGATATGGATGTCATATATACATTATGAACATTGTATCAACAATATATCAATATCATGTCTGCGCAAGATACTTTAGACATTTCACTTTGTTAATACTACGTGGTTGTGTCACTCATATCAATAATATTTCAATAACTCATGCTTGTAAAGCTTTTGAGAACGGTGAAAAGCACTTAAATTTAAGGTGAAATGATTTGTTGATATAAACTTTATATATTATGGAATTTTTTGTAATTATGAGCATTGTAATAATTGTGATATTACGTCAATTTGATATTTCAGTCTAATGATATTCTTCTTCACTTGTAAGTAAAAGATTATATGTTCGAATTTCATGAACAACGATTTTGAAACCAATTTTTCTCCCATTAAACTTAAACATATGATAAAACCCCTAATGAGAATCTATAGTTGCATTAAAAAAAAATCGTTGTATTATAACACACGTTTAATATTCATGACATAAACCCGACCGGTAAACCATAATTTCGACCATTGGAGTCTTGGACCCTATTTTCTCACTTCTAGAGGCAAGCAAGACATTGGGCGATTACAACCGAGCTGTCGATATTACAACAGAACAAAACAATAAGGTTGTCCATTGAAAATTATTTCTCTCCGGAATCCCATATCTCCAAAATTCCAACCCATTATTTCCACAGCGCCAATCAGCGATATCACAAACGCAAAGAATTTCAACATCGAACCAAACCTCTTCCACATTTCCTTTTCACATCCTCCCAAATTCCCAATCCACAAAGCCCGCGTCTTTCTTTCGACCCGATTCCGCGTTTTGCATCTCATTCCAAACAAAAACCCCAAAAGTTTCATTTTTTTGGTCTCAGATTTTACCTTTCGTCGATCCCCGGTATTCATTTTGTTTGGGTTTTTTTTTGTTTTTTGTTTTTTGAATAAATTATTTCGTTGACTTGGATTGATTGAAGATCTTTGTTTGGATTCAGCAATCCGATTACGTCGAATTACAGCTCCAATTGCTCGAGGGGTCGTGGAATTTGAACTTTGTTAACGAAATCAGGTATCTTTTATGGAAACAAATGTTAATTTGAATTTGGTGGTTGGTTTAAGAGGCTGTGTTTTCTCAATTGCTTGCAATGGTGTTAGGGATTTGCTGCTTATTTTCGCTTTTCAATGTATTTGTTATGTCTTAGTTCCTCTGTGTTTCGTATTGGGTATCGGCATTAGGTTTGAGATTTTACCTGCCAGAACTTATACAGGTTTTGATCTTGTTATATAGAACCCGCTTGTTCGTCAATGTTTGTGTTTATTTGGCTCAAGACTTGATATGCTTCTGCTTCAGTTTACACGTAGATTGTAGGAGGCGGATTGTGCCTGAAACATATAGGAATATCTCTTTGAGTTCAGATGGGAACCCAATTTACCAGATGGATGATGAAACAGCCCCGCCAACATTTTTTGGCTGTCCGGTATAAAACAACCTCATCTGAGTATGTAGCATCGAGAGCCAGAGATGCCACGTTTGAGAAACTAATGGACAAGTACAAGAACCTTCTCAAAGTCATTGCTGTCCAAGATCTCATCCTTGCAAACCCCCACGACCCTGCAGTGTCCCTTGATTTCCTCTCCAAGCTCTCCCAAAAGCTCCATCTCAACCGTGGTGCAGTCGCCTTCCTCCGCAAATACCCTCACATTTTCCACATTTACCATGTTCCCATGAAGTCCCAGACCTTCTGCAGATTAACTGACAGAGCCGCTCAAATTTCTAAAGACGAAGCAGAGGCGATCAACGCCTCGTTGCCACTTGTTGTTGATCGATTGGTTCGGCTTCTATCAATGTCTACTTCCAAGATGTTGCCACTCCGTGCCATTTTTAAAGTTGGCAGGGAACTTGGGCTTCCCGATGATTTTGAGGACTCGGTAATATATAAAAACCCCCATCTTTTCCAATTCTGTGATGCTCATGAACCCAATACTCATGACCTGAAACTGGTTAATGTAACTTCTGACAAGTTCACTGCAGCAGTTGAAAATTGGAGGGTAGAGGAGTATTGCAAGGAGGGTTGCAGTGTTGATAGGGCTGAAATTCAGTTTAGTTTTAAACACGGATATCCTCCTGGGATGAAGTTAAGAAAGAATTTTAGAGCCAAGGTTAAGGAGTGGCAGAGGTTGCCATATGTGGGGCCATATGATGAGATGGCAGAGAAGAAGAGGTCGTCTAAGGCCGGAATGATGGCTGTGGAGAAACGGGCAGTTTCAATTGTTCATGAATTCTTGAATTTGACAGTCGAGAAGATGGTTGAAGTGGAGAAAATCAGCCATTTCAGGAAATGTTTTGGCCTTGATTTGAATATCAGAGATTTATTCTTGGATCACCCCGGGATGTTTTATTTGTCAACCAAGGGAAAGAGACACACTGTTTTCCTAAGAGAAGCTTATGAGAGGGGGTGTTTGATTCACCCAAATCCGGTTTATAAAGCAAGGAGAAAGCTTGTGGATCTTGTCGTTTTGGGGCGTCATGGCCTGTTTAATGATGACTCTAAGCCAAGGAACCATGCCAGGAACATGGAGGCTGAGTCGCTGGAACAGCACAATGAAGAAACCTGTAGCTCTGATTAGTTAATACAGTTTTTCCCTTCCTGTGAACCTGATAAGTATGAGACTTTAGTGGTCAGAAACTTATTCAATTTTGATCTTATATCATGACCACGAAAGTTGATGATTCGTTTCTTTGGCTTAGCTTTTTTATAGATTTGATTTATGGTATTTCTTGTCTGTATTTCGTGTTTACTCATTTTAACCTTGAGTTCAATTTAACTTAACTGCCAGAAAACATATGAAACAAAAAACTATGACTTACTTAGGCAGTTAGCCTATATATCGATAAAGTAGGAGGAAGAGTCGCTGCTTATTCTGAAATCTTCTGAACCTATTGATGTTCCCTTTGTAGTGTTAATGCAGTTAACTAGTTATATGCATTTGTCCTTTTAGTTTCCTAATCAATCACAATAGATAACTTGCTTCAAGAAATTTATCTTACGTTATAGGTTAGGAAATGGTGGAAGCAATGTAACAAACAATGTAGCAATCTCTTAAGATTTATTCAAAATTACCAACCAGGAAATAAACTGCCTTTAACACATTAAGTTTTGCATGTACAATAATGCTGGGATATTGGAGTCATGAAACACAAAGTAGTTTCTCCTTGATAGATCTCCACACCAGTGGGTATGATTGTTTGCCTCAATAATTTTTGTCTTTATACCATGTCTTGTGTCCATGAATGATGCAATTGCTTACTTCATTGCCTAGGCCCGACTTCTTTAGGTAATTGTCCTGCATCAAGTATGGGGACCTTATTCTGTATTTAGGGGTTTCTGTCCTTTCCACAAGTAGAAGTGTTGGCATGTTTTTGAGTGTTAGGATTGGCAATTTCTGTCTTTGAAGAACTGAAGTTGTCAAGATTGGTTGGATGTTGGGAAGACCTGAAGGAGCTAGATTTCACAAAGAAAGTTAGTTCAGTCTTTTTGCCATGATGTGTTCTTCTAAAATGTATTATCTGGTTTTGAAAGTGAAGAAAAATTTACTTCGGGTAAGCTTTAGGATTTGTGTTCATGATCTCTCTTACCTCTTTACCCATCGTTGCTAAAATAGTAATAGATATATTCAAGTTTACAGTTTCATATTTCAAAAGTTTATTTAGAATTTGTAATGGCGTACAACACTGTGTAGCGTATTTGCCATATGGTAAAAGATTCAAGTTGTGCAGTGAGATTGTCTGCTATAGTCTTACTTGATTCTGTTGGTAAAGCCTCATTGTCTTTGTATATTTCTAAAAATTGCAGTTATGCAGAGCCAGCTTGTGTGTAGTGGGTGTAGGAGCGTTCTTCTATATCCTAGAGGAGCTACAAATGTATGCTGTGCATTATGCAATACAATCACCCCAGTCCCTGCTCCTGGTAATGTCTCTTTACCTTATACTTTTTCTTAATGGTTATCATTATAGGACCAGAGACTGATAGACTTGTCTAACCTAATAAGCATTTCATTGTAGTCATAAGGTTAGGTTACAAAACGTTTGTGCAATGACCTTGCAGGGACTGAAATGGCTCAACTTATTTGTGGGGGTTGTAGGACGTTGCTAATGCATACGCGTGGGGCAACAAGTGTGAGGTGCTCCTGTTGTCACACAGTAAATCTTGCTCCAGGTACTATATAAGCTTACTTGAATAAAAAATGAAGTTTTAATTGTTATGGCATGTAATCTTCACTCTTGTAATCTACCACTTAGTGGAAGGTGATATGCATCCTAATGTTTCCCAAGGTAAACAATCTTAGGGTATGGACGGTAATCCATGATACTGCAGAGGTTTTTCAGTTTAGCACCTATGTCCCATGCATGTGTGGATCTGTTCTGCAATGTATAGGCAACTCCCAAAAAGCTCCTCTTTTTTATATGCTTCTTTTTGGAAGGTTCTAGATTATTTTTGGTTTGCTAACTTAAAAGGACTTCACTCTTACAGTCTTACGTAATGGATAAAGAAAAACTCAAAGATTGTAATTTTGAAGGAAGTAGGTTTCACCTACTTTATGAGGACATTAAAAGTAGACATTTCGAAACTTCAGTGGTTTCATTAATATGTCTTTGTATTAAATGAAAGACCATAAGGAATTCTTCCCTTTACATAGTATTGCTGTTAATTTTTGTTCCTTTTAATAGTGCACATGGCAGGAATATTTCCAGTCAATATCAGAGTTTGATATTTCTGTTATTTTGGAAATTACTGACCGAAATGTGTCTTCGGTGGTATTTAGAAAGATCTTAAAAATTTGACAGAACCAGCATATATTGTAATTGCATATGTACAGCTTATTCTATGTTTGATAACTGTTTCACTTCCTCAGCTTATTGACTTCCCCTCTCTTGTGGGTCTTATTTTTGTGAAAAAAAGCATCCAGTCAGGTCGCCCACATCAACTGTGGAAACTGCCGGACAACGCTTATGTATCCATTTGGAGCTCCTTCGGTCAAATGTGCAGTCTGTCACTTTGTTACTAATGCTGGGGTAAGTATAGATGAAATTTTTGAACCTTTGGCATGTCATTGTCACTCAATATTCTATGTTATTATAGCTTATGAATTCTGGGCCCATTAAATGTTCTAAATCATGCTTTTATTTTGGTGCTATAGACTCGCTAAATGTTAAGAATCTTCTTGTTAATGATTGAGTGGTTGGATATAAATTGTTCTTTCATGTTGAAAACCATCTTCTTTGCAAATGAACTAACTAATTGAGTGTTGGTTTGAACATTATACAGATGGCCAATATGAGGGTTCCAATTCCAGCGCACAGACCTAATGGGACGGCCAATTCAGGAATGGTGCCCTCTACTTCAGCAGTAAGTTCTGAGAAGCATGCTATTTATATGTCCTGGATGAGACCGCCTTTGTGGTAGTAACATATTATGCGTAGTGAGTCTGTTGAATTTATTTCTCTTGTATTTTCTCCAGGCAATGCCTCATTCTCAGAGCCAGACCGTTGTCGTTGAGAACCCTATGTCTGTTGACGAAAGTGGCAAATTGGTAAGCTTGTTAAATAATGCATCCGTTCATTGCCATTGTTTTCCGTATTGAGCAATCAAAGACCTAATGATGATAACACTCTTAATCTCACAGGTGAGCAACGTCGTCGTTGGTGTCACACGGGGAAAAACTAGCACAGCGTGATTCTGAAATCTATTGCAGCTAGTTTTACTTCGCAGGGAACAAATCAAATCCTTATTACAGATTACTTGGAAGATAGGCACGATCGACATTGGGTGTATATTTCTATTGGAGTTGTTCATAAACATGTGTGCGAGAAACATTTCAAATGTGAGGCGTCGGATAAATGTATTATCTACCGAATAGACCTGATGCGGCGAGCGAGGGTATTGCTGTCATTCTTGTGATTGCTATCTCACCCGTGCCGTGTGTCCCAAGTTTAGTCGAGTCACTGCGCATAGAGGGTATATGTTTTTGAACTACAAATCCAGTTATCATACATTTGTTTTGTATGTAAACAATTTATGTTTTTTCGTTTGATGATGGTGGCCTTACATGGCCGGTCCCAAGCCCGGATAAAGGAGGAGGGGGAGGGCGTCAGGTAGTCGACAGCCGGCACTCCATGATCACGTCGAATCCTTATGAAAATGAATCCAGAACAAAATCGCGCTAAAGCTAGGGCGTCACCCGTAAGTGGCGCGCTGTGTGGCCCGAGCACAGTGATAAGTGAGCAAGGGTCGCTGTATCTCCATCGGCACCCGGATGCAGTGTTAAATGAGCAAGGGGGCCATAGAAACTTCTTTTCGAACGACTCCACTCAAAGTTGTTTGGGAGCATATGCTCCTATCAACTTTACCCGGGACACACAAAAGAAGTACTTTGATCCTATTAGACGGGGGATGGTGAAGAAGCTAGGACAGAAGGGTAGAGTTCAAGAGAGCAAAATGCGTTTAGGAACGTGGAATATAGGAACCTTAACGGGAAAATCTATGGAAGTAGTGGAAGTGATGGTGAGGAGAAGGATAAATATTATGTGCCTACAAGAAACTAAGTGGGTTGGTAGTAAGGCAAAGGATCTAGAAAACTCAGGGTTTAAACTTTGGTATTCGGGCACAAATAGAACGAGAAACGGTGTCGGCATCATCGTGGACAAGACCTTGGTACAAGATGTTGTAGATGTCAAGAGGGTAGGAGATAGAATCATGGCAATCAAGATTGTAATAGGACAAGAACTTATCAATGTGATTAGTGCGTACGCACCTCAAGTAGGGTTGGATACGAGTTCGAAGGAGAAATTTTGGGAAGATCTTGGAGACTTGGTGCAAGGAATTGCTCAGACGGAGAAGTTATTTATAGGAGGAGATTTAAATGGACACGTGGGCAGGGAGACAGGCAACTATGGAGGTTTTCATGGTGGCCATGGTTTTGGGGAGAGAAACGAGGATGGGGAAGCTATCTTGGATTTTGCAATGGCATATGATCTCTTCTTAGCCAACACCTTCTTTAAGAAGAGAGAAGAACATGTGATCACCTACAAGAGTGGGTCGTCAAAAACACAAATAGATTTTCTTCTAATGAGGAAAGGGGATCGTATAACTTGTAAGGATTGCAAAGTTATACCAGGAGAGAGCGTGGCTAATCAACATCGCTTGTTGGTGATGGATGTACATATCAAAAAGAGTAAGACAAAAAGAACAAGACTTGGAAGTGCCCAAGGACTAGATGGTGGAATCTAAAAGAAGAAAAACAAGTCATTTTCAAAGAGAAGGTAATCACCCAATGTGTGTGGGATCGAGAGGGGGAAGCTAGCCAAATGTGGGATTCCATGGCTAGTTGTATCCGAAAAGTAGCAAAAGAGGTATTAGGAGAGTCCAAGGGCTTTGCCCCACACCAAAAGGAATCTTGGTGGTGGAATGAGGAGGTACAAACAAAGGTGAAGGCTAAGAAGGAATGTTGTAAAGCCTTATACAAGGAGAGGACCGATGAAAATGGTGAAAGGTATAGAAAAGCGAAGCAAGAGGCGAAGAAAGCTGTCAGAGAAGCTAAGTTAGCGGCTTACGACGATATGTATAAACGACTAGATACCAAAGAAGGAGAGTTGGATATCTATAAACTATCTAGAGCAAGGGAAAAGAAGACAAGGGACCTAAACCAAGTGAGGTGCATCAAGGATGAGGATGGAAAGG